CAACAGCTTTACTTCATGGCTGCAAAAATCTCTGCCTTGGTGAAGCTCCACTATAGGTATGGGAATCTGTAGTACATAGAATAATGGTCCTCCCCAAAGGTGTCCATGTCCCAATCCCTGGAATCTGTAGCTCTTTACTTTACATGGCAAAGAGCTTTTACAAATGTGATTAAGATTAAGGACCTTGAGGGCTGGGGATGTGGCTCAAGTGGTAGCGTGCTCGCCTGGCATGCGTGCGGCCCTGGGTTCGATCCTCAGCACCACATACAAATAAAGATGTTGTGTCTTTATTTATTGATGTATGTATTTATTTGTAATTATTATATTACAAATAAAGATGTTGTGTTTGTAATTATTATATTACAAATAAAGATGTTGTGTCCGCCAAAAACCAAAAAATAAATATTAAAAAAAAAATTCTCTCTAAAAAAAAAAAAAGATTAAGGACCTTGATATGAGGAGATTATCTGGGATTATCTGGGTGAGCCCAACGTCATCATCTATCCTTTGGAAAGCCTCTCCCAGTTGTGGGCAAAGAGATAGATGTGTAAACAGATTCAGAGAGAGAATAAAACTTTTGGCTGTGAGGATGGTGGACCAAAGCCAGGAGAAAAGTAGTCTGAATAGGATCTGGAAAAGGAGCCGGGCACACTGGTGCACTCCTGAATTCCAGTGGCCCCTAAAGCAGGAGGATTGAGAGTTCAAAGCCAGCCTCAGCAATTTAGTGAGGCCTTAAGCAACTCAGTGAAAACTTATTTCCAAAATATTTTTTAAAGGGCTGGGGATGTGGCTCAGTGGTTAAGCAACCCTGGGTTCAATCCCCTGTACAAAAAAAAAAAAAAAAAAAACTGGAAAAGAAATGGATTCTCCTCAAGCCTACAAGAGGAACACAGCCCTGCCAAGCCTTGATTTTAGTCAAGTAAGACTGCTCAGATACAGAACTGTAACATAAAGGAATATGTGATTTATTTATTTTTTTGGGGGGGGTTTGTAGTTGGACACAATGCTTTTATTTTATTTATTTATTTTTATGTGGTGCTGAGGATCGAACCAGTGCCTCGCATATGCTAGATGAGTGCTGTACCGCTGATACAATCCCAGCCCCTGAATACGTGGTTTTAATTCACCAAGTTTTTGTCCTATTTCAATAGCATCAATAAAACATGAATACAGGCCTCTATTCTCACCCACCTACCTATGTATTAAATACCCCTTACTTTCAGAGCAGTAGTGGTTATAGGATATATGGATGTATACTTATGGTTTGGATCTAGAATATTCCCCAAAGGCTCATATTTGGTTTGGTCCCCAAAGCAGCAATGTTCAGAGGTGGAGCCTTTAGGAGAGTGATTGAATCATGAGGGCTCAGACCTCATCAACGGATTAATCCATTGATGAATTTGTAATTTAATGGCATTATTGGGAGTTGGTGGAAACTGTAGGAGGTGAGACCTAGTTTGAGGAAGTACCTAACCTGGGGCATGCTGTAGAAAAGTATATATTTTTCCTGACCACTTCTCTCTCCCTCTGCTTCCCAGTTCCCATGAGGTGAGCCGCTTTCCTCCACCACACCCTTTCACCAAGATGTTCTGCCTTGCCTCAGGCCCAAAGCAACAGGACTGGCAGACCTTGGACTGAAATCTCAAATTGAACCACAAGGTCTCCACTCCTCTAAACTGTTTTTCTCAGGTATTTTGTCCCAGAGAGAAAAAGCTGACTAACACAGGGGTGTATTTGTTTCACATTTCAATCACTTTGCCTGTTCTTGAATAACTTTGAAGAACTTCCAAGACTAGAGAATGGGAGGATTTAGTGACAATTCAATAGCTTTGTTACTCAAGTTTTCTTTTTTTTAATACTGGGGAGTGAACCCAGGGGCACTTAAACCACTGAGTCACATCCCCAGCCATTTTTATTTTGAAATAGGATCTTGATAAATTGCTTAGGGCCTTGCTAAGTTGCTAAGGCTGGCTTTGAACTTGCAATCCCCCTGCCTCAGCCTCCCAAACCACTGGGATTAGAGGCCTGTACCACCATCCCTGGCAATTTTCTGGCTTTTTAAAAATGTTTCTTTTTTTTTTTTTCATAACTCACTTTTTTATCTCATAACCTGGCAGGAAGCTATGCTCCATGAACTTGGCATTGAACAGAAATCCGTTCTGGCATACTGCCATGGAAAGGACAAATGAAGAATTACTTTTCAGTAGGGTATGGAAATGCAACATTTAGATTTTCAACATTTCAGTGACTAGCATTTGACAAAACATCGGATGAGAGAACTAGAAGCAATTGGATACTTCTTCAAAAATCTATATTTTCATGACTGAATATCCTACCCCATACAGTAGAATGTCAGGATAGGGTTAAAATAAATGAGGACATTCCTTTCATTAAATATGATAGGCAATTATCTCCAGGACATAAGTGAAAGGAAACAAATTACACAGCAGTACATATAGTACATTGGGGGTGTTTTTTTTTGCAGTGCTGGGGATCAAACCCAAGCAAGCCCTCACATTTGCACACACTGCCACTGAGGCACACCTCCAGCCTCTATGGCAATTTCTAAAGAGCTCTAGCCCTCATTTGGTACTTATTTTAGTTTGCTCACCTCAACTTTTTTTTAACATTCTGAAAATGATTTTATTCTTCCCTTAAAGCTATAAGGGAGCAGCAGCGCACACCTGTGATTCCAGCTGCTCAGGAGGCTGAAGCAGACGGATCTCAAGTTCAAGGCCAGCTGGGCAACTTATTAAGACCCTATCTCAAAAGTAAAATTTAAAAAAGGGAGTTCACTCCCAAGTATGGCAAAACGAAAAGAAAGCCTATAAGAACTATCATGGGGCTGGGCACAGTGGTGCATGCCTGTAATCCCAGCAGTTTGGGAGGCTGAGGCAGGAAGATTGGGAGCTCAAAGCCAGCCTCAGCAACAGTGAGGAGCTAAGCAACTCAGTGAGGCCCTGTCTCTAAATAAAATACAAAATAGGGCTGGGGGTGTGGCTCAGTGGTCAAGTGTCCCTGAGTTCAATTTCTGGTACCAAAAAAAAAAAAAAAAAAAAAAGTTTATACAAAGGCAAAATGATATTACTGAATTCCATTTTACCAGAACTTGGCGTATTTTGTGATCCTTGGCATGTTTAACAGTTGCCGATTCATACATGGATCCTTAAAGAGAAAAGGTAGAAATGACTGCTGAAAGTTGTCAATGCAACTGCCTGGATGCAAAGGTGGGCCAGATGTGGAAAAGTAGCTCAAGGTGTGTATGTGTGCGTACACAACCCAGTTAAGTATCCCAAGCATCTAGTTTCATATTTGTCCAATTATTCTGATGTCTACAATATAAAACTAAGACTTAGGACTCAAAATTCTTCAAAGGCAATGCTAAATTCAGACTGAAATTGGCTGGTTCATACATCTATAATTAGAACCACTTAGGACATACATTTATACAGCACAAGGCATGCAGAACTTGGAAGACTACCATATACTGTTATTTTAAACTTCTAAGCCAAAAAGTATACTACTAAAATTTTCTTAGAAGCACAATAAATGTTTCGACACAGCTTGTACAAACAATCCACTATAATTGATTCTTTTGCAAACAACTCCTGATGCCCAGAAGGAATTGACTACACCAGGTTCCAGCTGCTTTGGGATATATTCACTAATCCTGTGCATTCTGACAGTTGTATTTTGGGGTTGCTACTACATCATAGGATTTACAGAAAATAAATTAGTACACTGAGACAAACACAATTCAATGTAAGTTTTAAAGTGCTACCAGGAGGTTGAACAACTTAATTGCTCACTGGATTTTGAAATGTTCTACACTGACTTTGCCGAAAACTCAAATACTCAGTGACAATCATGTGACTCAAGGTGACTGTCATTCATTCCGCCTTGCTGGGCCATAGCTCAGACACTGGAATAAACAACAACAAAAAAAAAATTCCTGGAAAAGCATATGGTAAATCCAAGCTCACCCTCTTCCTTCTTTCCTTCCCTCTGCAATATTCCTTTTAGATCAACAGTTCTGGGTACTTCTTTTAAGACAGAAATTCTTATTCTGTGAGTCTGGGGGAAAGGGCAGGAATGTCCCTTTTGACAAATAACCCCCTAAAATTCATGAGTATCTGGGTCACTCTCTGAAAAATACCACTTAAGTTCTTGCTCCTGGGATCTATGAATCACATAGACATCTCAGGCATTTTCTCTTTATGAATATGAATCTTTAAAGAGCTGAAGGGCATAATCTAGTTCAGCTTACTTCCTCTTCTTGGGCCTGCCACCAAGGACAGCATCAGCATTGAGTCCTAATCTATCTATACCAAAGGTAGATCAGATTTACATCACCTGTATTAAAAAAAAAAAAAAAAAAAAAAAAAAGCTCAACAGTGTTTTTTGTACTCAGAGGTTTCCAACACATTTTATTTTGCAGACCATTGGCGTGCAGCTTGAGGACCGACATCTATATAAATTCCTATAAAACGTCCAGTATTGCCAGTCTGTGGCAGCCTCCTCTGCACTGCCTGCCACCAAGGGCCTCAGTCTCAGGTGCACACATGAGGGGGGCCTGCAGACCCTGGCTTCCAGGTAGCTTTGCGTGGAGAGTTCCTTTGGCGAGGATCGACAGGTTTGGAGTGCGGCTGCAGTGCTGGCGAGCAGGAAGCCTTCAAAGCCTTGCGGAGGACTGGCACCCTTGATGGTTCTCCTCTGTCGAAGACTCAGGAAGACGCAGCGCCCTTGTGCTTAACGACTGGAACCCTCCCGACTGCTTAGTAGGTTAAAATATAAGGAAGCCTCTGCTTTAAGTAACACAGATAACACCTCTTTAGATGTTCTAGAACTACAAAATTTAATTCAAGAAAATATAGGTCCCATGAAAGACTTAAAAGTTTTATAAAACTAAAATCTAGTTTTCCCCGATAAATTGTACTTTAGGCAAAACCCTCCCAACGCTTCTAAAATAATACTAAAAGGGGCATCTGATTATACAAGAGCAATTTAAAAAATTAAATATTTATTTGAATAACAAGTTTTAATTCGAGCTGCAATGTTGGCAATGCAGATTTTTAACAGATCACAAAAGGCGTGCACAAAAAAGTACTAGCGCAAAGGACAAAACAATGCTAGGAATTAGGCTAGAGTTGCTGATTTTAAGGAAACAAAAGGCCTGAAATCACTATACAAAATATAAAATGTATTAAACACTACCATCCACACAACAGCCTTTATTATTGATTATATTTAAAAATTATTTGCGTAATTATATATTGAATTGTAAATGAGTATTATACATGAACTCCCTATTGGAAGGCAATTCCTTGTTGCACTATAGAACATCTAATTACATTGCAAAAAGTATTCTTTTTTGCTATATCAGTAAAGAAAAGTTAATGATATTACTGTAAATATCAGGAAGGCTACAAAAAGAAATAACATTTCTTTTTTGTCTTCAAAGTGCTTTCCATGCAAACTGAAGCACTTGCCTTGTGAAACTGAATGCACTATTGGAGAATGTCCTGGGTCAAAGAGATGCTCTTGAATTATTAGTCTCAGCTTTACAAATCAAAGATGCAAAGGAATCATGCAACCTTCTTACTACCAGGAGACCATCTTGTCACTTACCAAATCTAACCTTCCAGAATACCATCCAAGATACAAAAAAAGACCAGACTGATATGATAAATACACATATAATGAAAAGACACAACTGCTATGTGACACTACTCTTGGTAATGTCTGTGCTGTGTGAAAGCACCTTTAGAAAGAGCCTATGCGGCAAGAGATACGTGTCTAAAGATTCAAAATGAATCAACAGTATTGGATAACAATATAATTCTCAACTCAGAAGCTGCCTCAAGATTAGGTGCATCTTCAGTTAATGTAACAGGAAAAGAAGGCCATGGATTTCATTTTATTAATTGTATCCACTCACAATCGACCTAAGGTCACCAGATGTGTAGACACAATGAGATTTTTGTTGTTGCTTATAGTCTTTAATTGAAGTGATGATAAAGGAAATAGATCTATTTAAAAACAAAACCAAATAGCTATTTCTGTCTACATTAGGAGGTGGCACCAGGTGTGGGATTCACATTTTGAGTGGCCACTTGTGGTGCAACTTCGATAATCCGGGGCTTGTCTATTATTCTGGCGGTACGGTTGCCCTTCTCTACAATCCCAATAATCCATGCTTGGTGACCTTCGCCATACTTGGGGGACTTTATCTCTGCACAGAACCGAGCAGCCTGCTCACGTGGTAAACATATTAGAAGGCCTCCTGGCAAAGGAAAAGAAAAGAATTATCATTACTGTGATATTAGAAGCTGAAGCAGTTTCTCTGCCTCTACTAAAAACTTCTACACAAGATCTAAATTCAGCCAACAACTTAACCAACTTGCTCTTTCCATTAAACCAAAAGGCTTGCCCTATCCCATAGACTAAACAATTCCCTGGTATACACCTAGACAATAATAAACTTTAAACTGTGACGATGACCAATCATTGAACCATTTAATGCTGTGTGTAGTAAGATGCTGGGGCCTCAGAAACATGTGGTAGCTATTTTTTTTTTTAAACACTACATTGAAAGAAATATTTACAAATGAATAGAAATGCTCATTTTCAATTTGGATTCCTCATCTCACCAAAACCACTCGTTTGTATTTTAAGACTCATGAAAGAGTTTATGCCTCAAAGAATCTAGGTTCTAGTTCCAACTCATTGTCTTCAAAACAGAAATAGTAATAACACATTAAAATAAATCTTCACTATTTCTAGTAACTAGGCAAGAAAAAAAATTGCTTCTAAGTAAAAATTAACACAGGAACAATTTGTAGAGTGTACTTTTACTTAAAAAGTAAAAACTCATTCTGAATAAAAGAAATAAATTTAAGTAATTGGTATTATTCACTAACTCATTCAATATTCCCTCAGTGGCCACTAGGTGGCAGACTGTTCCAACCAGATAACCAACAGGGGGAAATCTCTGCCTGCTTTGAGACAAAACTTCTTTCTTTCAAGCAGGAAGCTGAAGGGTCCTTATCAAAATCTGTAGGGGGCCTGATGAAGTCCTGAAATTCCAAGCCACTTCAAAGGGGCTGCAGTGGGCAGGGCTTTGTGGTCTCCACCTTTGCCTATACCAGAATCTTCAAGAGTACTAGGACCACTCCAGCTGACATCAGGTATTCTGGGGGTCAGGTCTAGACAACTGACCATTTTTAAATTCCCAGGATAGAAAACTAGAGTTATACAGAAAAGGAAAGAGAAATAAGAGAGAATCTTATAAGAGTCAAGATAAAGCACAAAGGGAGAAATGGGGGAGAGAACTTTGAAAACAATACACTACTTTTTTTGGGGAGGGGGGGTTTTCCAGGGATTGAACCCAAAGTCACTTAATCACTGAGCCACATACTCAGCCCTTTTTATTTTGAGACAGGGTCTTATAATAAAAAGGTTGCTTACAGCCTCACTAAGTTGTTGAGGCTGGCTTCAAACCTGTGATCCTTTCAAGCTGCTGAGATTACAGGAATGTAATAATACAGCCATGACACTGGCTCTATTTTTCTTTTATCTTCTTTTGGTACCAGAGATTGAACTCAGGGATTCGACCACTTAGCCACATACCCAGCTCTATTTTGTATTTTATTTTAGAGACAGGGTCTCACTGAGTTGCTCAGCACCTCACCATTGCTGAGGCTGGCTTTGAACTCGAGATTCTCCTGTCTCAGCCTTCTGAGCCTCTGGGATTACAGGCATGCACCACTAAGCCTAGCTCTATTTCACTCTTAAAAGAACAATTTTAGACATTTTTTCAAGAAAAAATTATAGTCAGTTCAATGTCTTCTATAGGTATTAGTTTATTTCAAATACTAAGCTTCCAATGACATTTGGGTAATGACTTATCTTTCCCACATTCTCCCACTCCCATACCACTGCTATATTCCTATATCCAAAAGGAGAAGAAAGGAACACTCAAAATATGGCTCTTGGTCACACATGGTAGGTACTGGAAACCCACACAGAGGTGGCCAGAAATAATTAGGACTGCCCTCACAAAGTGGAGATACACTCACACACTAGGCCACTGCTTTCTCATGGAGCATTCTGTTGGCTTAAGTCCAACCCTCAGACTTGGATCCAGGATCCCATACCTGATGTCTCCGGGCAGGTTCCATGCATGAGACCAAACATGTTCCCACAGGCCTTGCTCACAGCAGCCATCTTGGCCAGCACAGGGAGGTTGTGAATCACAAACGACACTTCATTCCTCTGTTGCTTGGCCAGGTTCTGAGCATGGCCCAAGATCCCAAAGCCTGTGATGTCAGTGGCTGCGTGGGCATTGAACGTGTGCATAAGTCCTGCAGCTAAGAGAGCCAGAGAAAAAAAATACCTTAGTTGAAGAACTCAAAATCACAAACTAGTGAAAACTCATTTGTCAGGGAGATGGCATACAGAAATAATGAAAAAAGATAGGGGCTGGGGATGTGGCTCAAGCGGTAGCGTGCTCGCCTGGTGTGCCTGCGGCCCGGGTTCGATCCTCAGCACCACATACAAACAAAGATGTTGTGTCCGCCAAAAACTAAAATAAATAAATAAATATTTAAAAAAAAAAAGATAGTATTACAAAATTAGCAAAATCAATGAAATTCTGATTTTCCTTCTTCCTTTCCTTCCTCTTTTTATGGTGCTGGGGATGGAATCCAGGGCCTCACACAAGCCAGTCAAATACTCTACCACAGAGCTATACCCCCAGCCCTGATCTATTTCAATCTAAACTGCCTGGAACCTGTCAGCAGTTTCAATCAAGAGCTATTTCCAATATGCTGACAAAAACTATACAGAGGAATTATTCAACAGCAGGTAATTTAGATCTCCTCCTAAATACAAAGAGGACTTTCAAAGACTATTTGACTTAAAATCAATCTAAGTACTCTTGCTAGAGATCAATTATCTGAAAGTTCTTTTACTTTTCAATTGAAAAGAGTATCAATAGGGGCTGGGGTTGTGGCTCCATGGTAGTGTGCTTGTCTAGCATGTGTGATGCACTGGGTTCAATTCTCAGCACCACATACAAATAAATAAAGGTTCATCAACAACTAAAAAATATTAATAAAAAAAGAATATCAATAGACTATATTTTGGAATTTGGGGGTAAGTTTAGGGAGTTCCCACATGCCCCTTCCCCAGTTTTGCCAAATGAACATTCTGCATCTACAGCACAATGAGTCAAATTAGTACTTAACTATCAACGAAAATCCATAACTCACATGAGGGTTGAGTGTGCTAATTCTACACATTAACAACTGTATAACAACAGCCATCCAACATTAGAGTATCGTGCTCTAAAAATCTTGTGCTGTGCCTAGTAACCCTCTCTCCCCCAAACCCCTGGCAGTCAATGATCATTTTACTGTCTTTACAGTTTTTCCTTTTCTAGAAGGTGCTATAGATGCATCTTACTGTAGAAGCTTTTCAGAGTGGCTTCTTCCACAACAGCACCTTTCTTTTTAATATCAATGATATTCTATCATCTGGATATGCCAGTTGTTTATCTGTTGATCTACTGAGGGACATCCTGATTCTAAGTTTTGGCAATTATGAAATCATGAATAAAGCCGCTGTAAACATTTACATGCAGGTTACTGTGTCAATTTAAGTCTTCAGGAGGGTAAATTCACAAAAGCACAATTGTTGGATCACATGGTAATAATGCCCATTGTTCCATCTTTGTCAGCATTTGTTGTTGTCAGCCTACTGGATTTTAGCCGTTCTAATAGGTGTATAGTAGTAACTCTTAGTTTTTACTTTGCAATTCCCTAACAAAATGTAAGGTTGTGTAGCTTTTTATGTTTATATGCTATCTATGTATCTTCTTTGGTGATGTGTATGTTATGGGGTTTGGCCCTTTTTTTTTTTTTTTTTTTTTAACTGAACTGTTTTTCTTTAAGAAAAAAAACTGGATGATTGACTTGTAAGAGTTCTTCATTTATTCTGGCCACCAGACGTTTATCAGATACATTTTGCAGATTTTTCTCCCAATCTGAGGTTTATCTTTTCATCTTCTTAATAGTCTTTCTCACAGAACAGATTTTTATACTAATGAAGTCCAACTTACCCAATTTTTCTTTCACAGAAAATATTTTTGTGTTTTATCTAAAAAGTCAACTCCAAATTCAATGCCAACTAAATTTTCTATTTATCTTCCTGGAGTTTTACAGTTTTGTTTTATATTTAGGTCTACATCCATTTGAAGTTTAACTTTTATGAAGCATGTAAAGTCTATGTCTAGATTTATGTTCTGCATGTGAATGTCCACTTATTCTGGAACCATTTGTTGAAAAACATTTTTCCTAATGAATTGCCTTTGTGTCTCTGACAGAGGTCAGTAGTTTGACTATGGCTGTGTCAATCTATTTTTCTATTTCTCTCTAAGGATCTATAACTTGTTTCTTACAAGTAAAGGGGGGAAAGTATAAAAAATTTATATCTCAAAATAAATTGTTCACAAATAGGTAAAAGGTTGCTAAGTGCAGTGTCATATCCCTGTAATCCCAGTGACGTGGGAGGCTAAGGCAAGAGGATTCTAAGTTCAAGGCCAACCCGAGCAACTTAGCAAAGCATTATCTCAAAATACAAAATAAAAAGGATTAGGGATGTAAGCTTAGTTGTAGAGCACCCAGTACCACCCCCCCCCCCAAAAAAAAAGGCAAAATGTAATCCCTATCTGGTAGAATATTATTTGGCCATTAAAAACTACTTATACTAAGTAACAATAAATGTTGACAAGGATTTGGGGGAAAAAAGGTATACTCATATGTTGTTGGTGGGACTGCAAATTTTTTTATTTGGTACAAGCACTCTGGAAAGCAGTATGGAAATTCCTCAAAAAACTTGGAATGGAACCACCATTTGACTCAGTTATCCCATACCTCAGTATATACCCAAAGGACTTAAAATCAGCAATACCATAGTTACACAGCCACATCAATGTTTATAGCAGCTCAATTCACAACAGCTCAACTATGTATGGAACCAACCTAGGTACCCTTCAACAGATGAATAGATAAGAAAATATGGTACATGTACACAATGGAATATCACTCAGCCATAAAGAAGAATGAAATTATGGCATTTGCCAGTAAATAGATGAAACCTGCGACTATCATGCTCAGTGAAATAAGCCAAATCCCAAAAACCAAAGATTGATGTTCTCTCTGATGTGTGGATGCTAACACACAATAAAGGGAGAGGGGATAAAAGTTCATTGGATTAGACAAAGGGCAATGAAGGGAAGGGGGGATGGGAATAGGGAAGACAGTAGAATGAATCAGACATAACTTTCCTATGTTCATATGTGAATACACAATCAGTGAAACTTGATTACATCAGGTACAACCACAAGAATGGGATCCTAATTAGAATGAGTTATACTCTATATATGTATGCATGGTATGTCAAAATACACTCTACTGTCATGTATATCTAAAAAGAAAAAAAAAACTATGTATATGAGGATATATAATATGGGAAAAACAATCTTAAAATGTTAAGCAGACTCCAGATACATAATTTATGATACATACTAGTTTAAAAAACAGCAGGAAACCAAAAAAAGTTCTGCAAGAATACGTAAAAAATACTAATGAGCTATTCTGGGGTGGTGGAACTACAGATAATTTTCTTTTCTACTGTTTTCCATCTTCTAATACTTTTTCTAAAATAAACATGTAATTCTTCTATAGTAGGATAAACGGGGAGAGAGAGACATTGAAAAGAAAAAAGTTACATATAGTACACCACTGAAAACTGATACACAATACTTTGGAAAACAATTTGGCACTATCTAGAAAAGCTGAGACCAAAGAAGTTCTAGCAGTAATCCCCAGGTCCACTGACAGCAGATCAAATAAGGAAGCATGCAGTGGAATGTTTAAAGTAAGTAGAAAGGCAGATGCTAAAGTAAATCCTTTTAATTAACTTCAAAATCAAGAGTATCAGATGCGATCTCTTAAGATCTCCTGGGGACAAGAAAAGAAGGAACAATGGAATGAGCCTGACCAAACTTTCCTGTGTACATATATGAATATGCCACAGTATATTTCACCTTTATGTATATCCACAATAGATTAATAAAAAACAAGACCAAAAAAAAAAACACAAAAAAACCCTATAAGTAAACAGAAGAAAGATAAACAGACTAGAAAAAAGGGACTAAGGGTAGGAGGATGAGACACAAATGGAAATAGGGACCAAATTGGAACAAATTGTACTCTGTGTCTGTTTAATTTTGTCAAAATGGAAGCCAATATTATATATAACTAAAATGATAAAAAAAAACTTTTTTAAAATTAAAAAATATTGAAGAGAAATACAGTTAAAAAAAAAAAGAAATTTTTAAAAATATTCTGGTCATGGGGCTGGGATTGTGGCTCAGCAATAGAGTGCTAGCCTAGCATGTTGAAGGCCCTGGGTTCGATCCTCAGCACCACATAAAAATAAATAAAATAAAGGTATTGTGTCCAACCATAAAAATTAAGAAAAAAAAAATTCTGGTCAGGCTGGAGGATGTAGCTCAGTAGTAAAGTGCTTGCCTAGCATGAGCAAGGCCCTGGGTTCAACCCCCAATACCACACACAGAATTTTTTGCTGGGCAAAGTGGTGCATACCTATCAACTCCAGCAACTCAGGAAGCTGAGCCCCTAAGCAACTTAGCAAGACCCCTTCTCAAAATAAAAAATAAAAAGGGGTGGGGATGTAGCTCAGTGATAAAGTACCCCTGGGTTTAATCCCCAACATTTCATTCAAACAAGAACAAAAACAAACAAACAAACAAAAAAACCCAAAGAATTCATGACTTATGTATTACATATATTTGGATCAATATCATTTTGGGAAAGTTTAAAAATAAAAGGGAAAATACCAAGAAATCAGACAACCCATCCAATGTACAGAATGCTCCTTGACTGCTGATGGGGTTGTGCAATAATCCATTGTACCCAGAAAACATCTTAAGTTGAAAAAGCATTTAATACACACAATCTACCAAACATCATAGGTTGGCAATACAGTAGACTATAGTATATTGGCTGTTTACCTTTGTGATAAACAGCTGATTAGGAGCCAAGGCTGCCATGCAGCATTTCAATCATATTGCCTATCTCCGGCACCAGAAAAGACCAATTATTCAAAATTCAAATTGTGGTTTCTACTGAATATTTCTCACTCTAACACCATTGTAAAGATGAAAAATTTTAAGTGGAACCATTAGTAGGGGACGTGTGTTTGGATTTCCATGAGTAAATTCACATAAGCCAAATCAGGTACCAAGAGAAGATGGCCTGTAGTCAACAGTCACATCTGGCCAGCCACAAGTGGTTTTCTTTTGTGTTAAAAAGCTGTGTGCATGTATGTATGATAGGGGAAATCAATGAGCAACTGAGACTCTATGTGGCCTTCAAAGCCTAAAATATCTACTACCTTGGCCTTTTCAGAATGTCTGCCAACCCCTACCACAGAACCCTTCCCTGCCCATACCTGTCCTGTTGAGCCGTGCCATATTCATCATTGCTTCTTGGTATGCCAACTCTACGTCTTCTTGGGTGACTACTAGCTTAATTTTATTCCATTTTTCAGGCTAACAATGGAAACATAAGTCAAGGAGAAAAGAGGGGGAAAATATGATTAATCTTTACTTCTTACCACTGATACAAAGAACACCTTTTTGCTTAGTCATCTTCTGAGTTTTATTTATCTAACTTTGTACCAAATATTAAGTGTCCATCAGTCCCATGGTCATGATTTCTTTTCTGTTCTCATTCTACATTTCTGTAATCAATATTGCATCTATTGGCTATGTAAACCTGGCAATACACACAGCTACACTGAGATGGCAACAGGTGTGTGAGCACAGGCTGAAGCTTGCTCCTCTTTAGGAGGGTGAAAATCACATTATCAATAGCTTTGAATGTCCTCTGGTTCTCCTCTCATCTCTCCTATTATGTCCACAGCTTTCATTTTTCATATTATATTTTTATTGATTTTAATTGAAGCCTGGAGTGAAGCTTTTCTTTTGGAGACTGGGTCTCACTATGTTGCCCAAGCTGGCCTTGAGTTTGCAATCCTGCCCCCTCAGCATCCTGGGATTATGGACACATGCCTCTGCCTAGGAGTGAGAGGAGTAAAGCTATCTTAATAAAGAGAAGAACTGGAAACAACATTAAGTGCATGCACACTGAGGTCAGTCGTGGGTAATTAAAGGACATCATAATGAGGACAAAGAGGTCTGCCTTTATTCCCCTCAGCCTGATTTTCGAAGAATCCAGCACTATGATGCTGGGTTCATGACATACTGTCATATGGCCCATTAACTACCCCCATTTATGCATCTACTTATTTGTTTTATTACAGAATAAAGAAAACCCAGTAACCTACCACCCAGTGTAATAACTAAACATCAGCAATATCTTCTACCTACCCTCACTTCATTGCTCCCTCTCTCCCAAGAAGTAGCAATTATCCTGGATTTTGTACTTTCCCAACATTCAAAAAATAGTTTTCTCATAATGCCTAAATAGCACTCTTTGGTTGCTTCTTTCTTTATAAAAAGCATATAGTAGGGCTGTGATTGTGACTCAATGATAGAGGTAGAACACTTGCCAAGCACATGTGAAGCACTAAGTTTGATCCTCAGTACCACATAAAAATAAATAAATAAATAAAATGAAGGTATAAAAAAGTACAATAACATTCAAAAAAAAAAAGCATATTGTGCTGTTGATGTGTCTTTGGTACTTGCTTTCTTCAATTCTGAGCATTTAAAAAAAAGCAAAGGTAATGCTGACCTGAGGTGGAGACACCAACCCCCTTGCCTTGCCTGCTTCCAGCTCCCTTGCTCAACTGTGTAGTCCTGGGAGATTGTCCTGGCCAGCATCTGTAAAGTATCCCTGCAATGCCCTTCCTATCTAGTTTACATCCCTGGGTGAGGAGGGAAAAATAACTGAGAAGGTGCAAACTTAGAGAATCTCTTACTCTGCTACATCTGCTACAACTAAGATATATACCCAAGGTTGATGAATGAGAGAATATACCACAATCTTATTAATTTCTGAGTTGTTATGGAAGAGAAAAAACAAAGTCAGGTATGATTATAGGAGAAATACCTTTCTATTCTAGATGCATTCTCCATGAGAATTACACATCAAAATGTTCATAATTACTAGGGCTGGGGTTGTGGCTCAGTGGTAGAGTGCTTGCTTATTAGCATGTGTGAGGCACTGGGTTTGATCCTCAGCACCACATAAAAATAAATAAAATAAAATAAAGGTATTGTGTCTACCTACAACTAAAAAAATATTTTTAAAAAATGTTCTTAATTACTAATCAATTTAAAAGACAACTACCAAACAAAAACTCAACCCCCAAGACTAAAAATTTGTCCCTAACTGGCCTTATTTATACCCCAAATACCACTTTCCACAAATTCTCCCCACAGTGTTATTACTATTATCATCATAATCATTTTGTTATGCTGGGACTAAGCCCAATGCCTCACGCATGCCAACAAGAAATCTACCACTGAACTACACCCCCAGCCCCGTATTACTTTTTAGTGATGTTTAAGATGTGAAAATCAAAGCTATCTCAGCACCAAAAATACATGATGCTAATCCCTGGCCTCCCAAATTCTTTATAGAAAACCTCTGAAGCCCTAAGCTGGGGTTACTTACTTCAAAAGCTACTTGAAACTTTCATTTGATACAAGAATATGAGCAATTCTGAGGATATCTTTTAAGGACCTGATTGATTAAATTAAATTCTATGGTACTAAAAACTAAAGGTTTCATTTTCTAAACCCTCCAACAAAAATCACTACAACTCTGAAAACTAATTATTGTGCTCCCGCCCCCGTCACGCACAAGCAGCAGTTTACTCACAATATCCAGCCACTGGTGCACAGCAACAGCAACTTGTGTCCCCAGAGGTTTTGTCAACACAAGCACATCCCCTGGCACTGCATTATCTGGCCTGAAGAAAAGAAAAATAGCACATTCTTGTAAAACTAACCAAGGAGATCAATTCATTAAAACAGGAGAAGGAAAATTCTGTTAAAAAAAAAAAAAGTACTTGCTTTTGCACTTACTTAAATTTAAGCCAACTGTTACCATGTACTAGGTGATATAGCCTTACAACCTTCTACTGAAGCTATTACTGCAACAAAATATTAACAGGAAAATGAAAACATCCACAGACTTAAACACATCGGTCAATTATCTATAGATTTTTTTTAAAAAATGTAACAGGCACAGTGCCACGCACCTGTAATCCCAGTGGCTGAGAGGCTAAGGCAGAAGGATTGGAAGTTTGAGGCCAATCTGGGTAACTTAGTTAAGACCCTGTCTCAAAATAATATTAAAACAAAAAGGGCTAGGAATACAGTTCAGAGGTGGAACACCCCTGGGTTTGATCCCAGTAACATACACACACAGTATGCAAAGAACCAGATCATTTAGTCTTCCAAGTTTCCATCAGGCCGTTTCCCTTAGCCATATATGAGTGGGTGTAATTCACAGATGTACCAGAGTTCCAAATCATTTGAGGCAACAAGACTTCTCAAAGATGGCTTGTTCGTGATCACTATAAGTGATCACCACTATAAGTGGTAGGGACTCAGGTAGGATTTTTTAGGTTATGGGATTTGGCTGGAATTTGAGTCTGGTGTTTTGGTGATTTCTGCAACCAGGTTCCCAAACTCAGTGACCAATAATAAGTTTCCTATCTGGCACTCAAGGGTCAGGGTAGACCCTGCTTTAAAGAAAGAAAGCAAATTCTAAAAGGGCAGCCCTGAAAAGGAAAAGTTTGATCCTCCAAAGAAAACAACTATTATATTTGTATCCTCACTACCAGGATGTGCATCCAACACTCAGCCCTTTCTTGTCTCAGCTCAAGGACCTGTCCACATAACCCTTCTAGCCCATCACTGGGCTACTAAGATGATATAAAAGCAAATCAGAGCAAAAGACTTCAGAACGCATATCACACTCCCTAAATCAACCTATAAGATTTGTATTCATTGTCAACTTTGAGCAATATAAAACTTGGAAATTGTACAGGAATCTCATTTCCCAAAAACTAGACCTTCAGATAAAAGTATCCTTCAATTCTGGTCCACTCACACCTGAGGCTAGTAAATTATTCCACTTTAACAGTTATGTGCAAGCAACAAATTTATATCAAGTGTGACAAACTATGGTGTTACTTTCAAGTTTATGGGCAATATGACAGAATGTAATCATATGTATAAGTTCTTTTAGCTTTTCTAAAAAAGTAAATATACATGCTACTGGCAAAATATTCCGTAATTTTCCTCCCCATTCAATTCTTTACTAAAAAGCTGAAATGAGTGAGACAAAGATCCTTTAGTATCTAAGTGGAAAGCCTGAAAACTACTAACATATGCTATATGTTGGGAAAATGAAGCATTGGTGGTATGTAAAATGCACAATCCTTAATGCAGAAGCTATCTGATAGTAAAAATAACAAGGAGCTTCCATCAATTAAAAAAAATGGACAAAAGATCTGATTGTGAAAAATGTTCACCCCTACTTATAAGAATAAGGTTAACTGGGTATAGTGGCGCATGTCTGTATTCCCAGTGACTCAGGAAGCTGAGACAGGAGGATCGCAAGTTCAAGTCCAGTCTCAGCAATTTAGGGAGGTTCTAAGCAACTTAGACCCTGTCTCAAAGAATAAAAAATCAAAAGGTCCGGGGATATAGTAGTAAAGCACTCTTGTGTTAAATCCCCAGTATCAAAAAAAAAAAAAAAGATTAAAATCACCAAGCAGATTGGGCTGGGGATGTGGCTCAAGCAGCAGTGTGCTTGCCTGGCATGCGCGTGGCGCTGGGTTCAATCCTCAGCACTACATACAAATAAAGATGTTGTGTCCGCAGAAAACTAAAAAAATAAATAAATATTAAAAAAAAAAAAAACCCACCAAGCAGATCAGTGAAGACCAAGTTTGTTAACCTCACTGAGTTTTCACAATGTGGGGAAACTGATCCACTAAATTCATTGCTATGGAGCATAAACTAGTGGATCATCTATGAAGGGCAAGGTAAATGGAGATATCAGAATCATCAGCACATGTCACCTGCTCTAGTGATTCTACTGAGAAATTTATTTCAGTAGATTCCCCTGTCAGTAGATTCCCCTGAGTAAAATGATCTGTTACCTCTAAGGTCCCTCACTAGAGTATTATTTGTAATGTCAAAATGACTGACTATCATCTAAGTGTCAACAACAGATTGGTTTAACAATATACAAGACTGGGCTGGGGATGTGGCTCAAGCGGTAGCACGCTCGCCTGCATGCGTGTGGCCCGGGTTCAATCCTCAGCACCACATACAAACAAAAGATGTTGTGTCTGTCAATAACTAAAATAAATATGAAAAAATTCCCTCTCTCAAAAAAAAAAAAAAATCTTAAAAAAAAAAAAAAACCAAAAACCCAATATACAAGACTAATAAAAAGGATGCCTTGCAGGCAGGAATCAATCTGGTGATCCAGCCATAGGTGAAACCATTTACACTGTGGATTCTTTTTCATACCTTTTGAATTCTGAACCTGCTCAACACAGTACCTATCAGTACCTATTCAAGAAAGAAAGAAATGGAGTTTACAATGCCTTCAAAAACAGGGCAGAGTGGCTTTTCTTAACAAGACATTAAATACAGAAAGTGACAACCTGTGTTGAGTTACATTTCCAAATAATATAGAGAAAGGACCAAAAAAACATATGAAAAGATACTTTGATTAAGATATGCAAATTAAAAGAACAATAGGCTACTACTTCACACACAGTAGGATGGCTATAATCAAAAAGATACAATAAACAGATTTTGGAAGGGATGTGGAGAGACTTATGTCCAACCAAAAAACCTGCATGAGTATTTATAGCATCATTCATAACAGATAACAACCCAAAGGTCCACCAAACAACAAAATGGGTAATAAAACATGTGTGTCCAAATGATGGGTTACTCAGCCATAAAAAAGTAGGTAGTAAGGATTTATGCTACAACTTTTTTTTTTTTTTGGTGTGCTGGGGAATCGAATCCAGGGCTTTGTGCATGGGAGGCAAGCATGCTACCAACTGAGCTATATCTCCACCCCTATGCTACAACTTGGAAACATTACAATGAATGAATGAAGCCAGATATAAAATGTCATACATTGCATGATTCCATTTATATAAAATGTTCAAAACACTTAAATCATTATAGACAAAAAGTAGAGTGTTTGCCAGAGGATGGTGGGGAGGAGGGAACTGGAAGGGATTGCTAATATGTATAGGGTTGCTTCTGGAATTGGATAGTAATGATGATTATATAAGCCCATCCTCACAAAAATCTATACATTAGAATGATGAATCATGTGACATTTTGTTAGGTGAATTATAATTCAATTTAAATATAGAAAATGTTCAAAAACAGGATCAAAGAAGTACTACATGCTACAAAATGGATAGACCTTAAAATGTTAATTATATGAAGTGAAATAAGCCAAGAAGGGATAGGATTGGGGATTGACAACCAAGGGGCTTCTTGTTGGGATGATAAAAATTTTCTACAATTGACTGGTGATGGCTGTACTTTATCAATAGACACAAACCCACCTAATTGTATACTTTTGGGGTGAACTATATGATATGTGAATGATTTATATAAAAGTGAAACAGATCAGGTGACATGAAACAAAAATCAACTTACATGATAAATTCATTGGGCTGGCAGACAGTTGTAGCAACTCCTCCCAGAACAATCCAGGGGTTTAATACTGTTTGGCCACCAGTTACAGACGTTCCTGCTTCCTCAGCTGCATCTTTAAAACCCTGTATAATTAGGGGCATCACTTTATCCCTTTCCTAGGGTTTAAAAGGACAAAAAGGAAAAGTCAATTCTCTTCAACTCAGAAAAGAGCTTCTATACTTATAAAAAGGATCACAGGATCCTAAATCCTGAAAGCTAACAACAAGGCAGGGTGTAACAAAAATAGGGAGTATTTCACATTGTAACCATTTTTATCAAATGCTGGAAGTTGTTATGGGCTACAATGCTAAGGGAACTCAGTCAAGAGAGGAGGAGAGATGTATGGGACTGGTCCACAGACTGAGATCCAAGTCTGATGACCATCAGACCCTCTCTCAAAATAAAAAATTAAAAGGCCTGGGGGATGTAGCTCAGTGGCAGAGTGATTGGGTTCAATCCCCAACACTGCAAAACAAAACAAAACCAACCTAGCTCCCTCTGCATATCCACCTTACCTTTGGGGAGGCTTACATTAACCAAAGAGTGTGAAGCCTGGTGAGGGCCAAGATGGGAATGCACACCCACAAGGCCCTTGCTGACCCCACTAGGTATAACTGATCAAAGCACACATTGCTAGGGCAGAAGAGAGGGCCTACTAAAAACGCAAGATTTCCGTAAAGTAAGGCAAGCTGATTTGGGGGGAACACAGGGGTGGAGAGTCAATAAAACCAAGTATCTGTCGAAAGTAACCAAGAGGAATTCATTTCTGGTTCAAGGAACAAGTACCAAAGACAAAGTATCTCCAGGAAATGACACAGAAGTGTGACTGCATGAACACGTGATGTCCCCAACCTGTACCACGGTCTACTTCAGTGACACCTTGCCACCAACACAAGGTTACTGGCCCTCAAAGTGTCAAGAGTCCTGGACCTATATATAAGTCAGTGCCTGATCCCACTGGTCTGGCACTTAGGTACTATTACTATGGCTATACTTTATTAAAACACACATACATAAAACTTGTAAGTTTCAATCTACCTGGAAGAGAAGGAGATAGCAGGGTGGTAGAAATAAAAAGATAAATAAACCAGATGCTCTCATTTTAATTTATTGCTAACCACCCCAAATTAGAGAGCTGGAAGGCCTATTGGAAGCCACATGGCCTCCTCACTTTCCAGATGGGAAACAAGTCAGAAAAGTCTCACAACTAAGACCACAAAGACCAGCAAGCAGACACAGAGGGACCTCCTACTTACCCTGTCAGTCATTTTATTACTGACTCCAAGGAGCATCAGCATATTGTCACATTCTGTGACCCCCATTGCATAGAGGTCACTGAGGACATTGGCACATGCTATCCTGCCCTGGGAAGAGAGGGGAGATGTGAGAAGCACAAACAGGGAGTTTCCAACTGCAGAAATGAAGACCTAGCCTATGGTTTGGCCTCCAAGGAGAACTCAAGAGACTCTCCAGGAAGAGCAATTACCAGGATATGGTCCTCAACTTCTAGATTTGTAAACTAGTTACCTTTCTTTTGGTATGTCTTTCTCAGACATTCCTAATAACACATTCCCCTCTGTGTAGAACAAAGATTTACATGTTCTTTTTTTGTTTTTCCCCCCAATATCATCATCCTGAAAATCAGAAGCCTGATTTATCTAGATAAAGGAGGGTGTGGGGGGATGTCAGGAAGACAAATAAGATTAGAACCAATAGTCTAGGGAGTAAAAGAGTCTGAAAACAATGACACTAAGGCAAACTTGGAAATAGCCACTTATCTTAATTAAATAGATTCTACAAAAATGTTGACATTACTGGTTATAAAAAGAAAAGAAGATGGTTTAATGTACTTGGATTGAAAAATTTTTGTAGCCTCAAGACTATAAGAAATAAACAGGAAAACCATCTTGTTTGAGAAACAAACAAAAAAAAAATAGAAGAAATAAGAAATATACAGGCCTAAAGCAAGACTTTTTTCTAAAGAAAAAGTAGTATTTCCCAGTAAACTATACTGTTTTATTAGGAACTTGAAATTGTTTAATAGGAATGTAACAATAAAGTTTTTTTTTTTTTTTAACTGCCATCGGGGATTTTTTAAATGTAAGCTGCTACTATATAAATTACTCTTTTTTCAGACAGTAACGAGAAAATGAAGTTTTTCCTCTGATAAAAGGATAATCAAACTCTAAGGTAGTATTATCAGTTTCAATGGCTGTTTAATTGCTTTATATTTTCTTATAAATTTCTGATAGATTAACAACCTTCTGCAGATCCACTAACATCAGGCCAACAGGTAGTATACAACTTGGAGACACCAATCACTGGTCCGAGTGGTAGTGACTTACTGGGAGCTCACAAATGCTTTTTTAAAAATATTTTTTAGTTGTGGTTGGACACAATACCTTTATTTTATTTATTTATTTACTTTTATGTGGTGCTGAGGATTGAACCCAGTGCCTCACATGTGCTAGGTGAGCTCTACTACTGAGCCACAACCCCAGCCCCTCACAAATGCTTTTAAGAGATTAGGTATAAAGAGAACAAATTCTGGCTTTAACCTCTCTGCCACCTGCTCAGGTGGAACATATAGGTGTGGCTCACCTGCCCAGCCTCTCAGGAGTATTGGTCTAGAGGAGGGAACAGATGGAGGTGCAGAAAGAACACTGGTTCCTAATAACCTGTTTACTTGTTACAGGAATCCTAGCAGTGAATACCCATTATTTTGCTACCTCACAGTCTAAATTCCTTTTATGCAGATTAATCCCAGTGTCCTCACCATATAGGAAGGACATCTGGCATTTTATAATAAGTGGGATATCCCCATTTCTTCATTGGCCTCTCTTGGTTGGTAGGGAAGTAGGGTTAAAGGCTGGGTAGGTCAATGTGGTCATAAGCATGCAATAGAAAAATGGAAAATATATCTGTGTGATACACGACCAGTAGCTAGGAACCTCAATTCAATGATCAGATATATATCATACACAGTGTCATAAACACTGTAGTGGGTAGGTACGCAGATGACTGATGGGAAGTAACCAATGCTGACGTTTATCAGAATAAATGTTCAAGAAGTCAAATTACAATGAGACGCTAAGCTCCTTTATTTCTGGAAGGAAACCTTTGAGATTAGTCCTATTAGAGTTCAGTAACATAGAATGGTGAAGTTTATAAATGTCAAAGAAACAGAATATAAGGAAAGAAAACAAAAAACTATATCAGTCCTACAAACGACTAAAACAATAGGTGTTCTTATGCACAAACATACACTCAGGTACAAAAGCAAGAGAGGGACTTCCCTGCTCTACTTACTTTATGACAGTGCCAAGCATGAGCACAGAATGGGCCCAACTGCTGTGACTATAGGAGTCACAGCAGGGATGAGTAGTGTACTCTGGATATAGCAAGAACAAAAACCCCCAAATCACAGACAGACAAAACTACAGCTACAACCACAAACCAAATGCATATGTAATTCCAGTGATAAAAACACATTAGGTTAAACTTACCATCATGTAAGGGTCATCTACGATAGGATAAATGTAATCTGTGGTTTGAACCAAGGAAAGACCACCATGCCTCAAAGGAATGACGCAAGTATCCATTCCAATGCCTGGGAAGATGGAAGTCATCAGCATCCAAAAATAAAAGGGGAAAGTCATTTTATTTCATATGATCAACATTATGAACAGGAAGATTTCTGTATAAAACATTTATGGAAATTCTGCATTGCAAATGAGGCCATGTGTTTCCTATCAAGAACCATTACATGAAACTTAACTACATTAAGAAAGAAAATATGAAAAAAAAAGTCATCAAAACCCAATTTCAATATGGGATGATTTTTAATCCTTAATGTTTGAATAAAAATTCTTTTTATTACTGTATTTTTATTGCATTACTATATCATATTACGGGTACCATTCAGGAATTCTTTAAAGATGAAAATAGTACATATGAATTTGTATTTTTTCATCTATAAATACTTTGAGTATATTTTTAGATATTATTCTATTTTTCTGGTGGGGTATTTATGTATTTCACATACAGAAAATGCTACCATTACTTTTTTATTTTAATGAAAAATGAAAATGAGAAAGAACAAAGCCAGAATAAAAATTCAAAATTTTCTACTAACACCTCTGTAAATTCATTTTATAGGTTCCCCAAAGAAATTTTTAAAAGATCTTAAAATTCCATGTTAGTCCCTTACTGAAAAACTTAAAATCACCACATTTACTAGCTTACAATATAAACTTTCTGTCCACTGTAAAGAAAATTTCTCAGTGGGGCACTGTGACTTAAGCCTATAATTCCAGCTACATGGGAGGCTTAGCTCAGTGGTAGAGTACTTGGGCTCTGGGTTCAATCTCCAGCATTGCCCCCCACCCAAATTACTCAATATGGGTATGAGCAATACTTCAGGTTATTAAAAATTATTCCTCAAAATTTAAAAGGTAGTAGGGACCACCAATGGGCTAATTAAAAAGAATTCTCTTTTTCTGAAAACAGTTTTGTTTGTATGTGGTGCTGAGGATCGAACCCGGGCCGCACGCATGCCAGGCGAGCGCGCTACCGCTTGAGCCACATCCCCAGCCCTGAAAACAGTTTTGATGCCACTACAGTAGTCTACATTTCTTTGAAAATTACCTGTAATGACATTTTACAAATTCGGACTGGCATTCTCAAATAAGCTGAATACAGAGTGTTTTCCTATACCCCCCTCTCAAAAGGACGCCCTTCCACGCTCTTAGGAAATATTTCACTTTGGCAGTCCAATAGCCAAAGTCAGGAAAAAAAATCAGGATGAAGTACAAAAATAAGAAAATAGAGTCTACCCTATAAATATGGAATTCCAAATGAAATAAAATCATATCTCAATCACATTGAAAGGACTTTTCATATTTTGCAGCAGCAAAACTGTTTTAAACATCTCATATCACGACAGCAACAGATCCAATAACAGATGATTGCTGCTGCCCTTTCTCTTTTCTAGAGTTGGTCCACTATAACTAAAGCAAAAATAAAATTTACCTTTAAAAAAAGGCCAGACTGTGAAAACAGGCTTTTTACTATATTTTACTATACTTGATGGCAAAGTAGAAATTTTTAAAGAGATTAGTAAGGAATGGAGAATATAATTTCAGAATGTCAAGTCTCACAAACTGGAGACAATAGTACACCTGACTTGTGCTCAGTTTTTATCAACTGGGTAAGAAAGTATGAAAATTCACCTCAATGGCACACATGCACAGACACAAATTTCACCTAACAGTGCTCTTTCGCAGGTAAGTGCACTCAGCAAGAACTGCAACTATCTCCCTAAATAACAATTCTAACAACAGGCTGTTCTGAGTGTACTATTATTCACTTTAGAAAATAGTGAGATAGTTTCCTCTGGGTTTCTATTTAAACTACAAGACTACTGAAAGAGATACTAAATAGTTGTTGAATGTTACATACACACTTGAGGATTGAAACAAGGGGCACTGTACCACTGAGCTACATCCCCAGCCCTTTTTTCTAAGTTTGTATAGGGTCTAAGTTGCTTAAGTCCTTGTTAAATTGCTGAGAATGATTCAGTCTTAAATTTGTATTAAATAAACTGGGAATGGTGGACAATGACTATAACCCTGGTGACTCGCTGAGGCAGAAGATCACAAGTTCAAGGCCAGCCTCAGCTACTAAGTGAGATCCTGTCTCTAAATAAAAAATAAGAAGGGCTATGGATGCAGCTCAGATTATAGAGTACTCCACATCCCCAAATGAACTAAATACATTTGATTTGTAAAGCACTTTATTTCTACACTTAGCCAGTTCTTTCAACAGAGTAGCTAATGACTCTGAGCATGTTACTGGGCTAAAAAGAAACTGCCATTATCCACATTTTCCCTTTCACAACTGTGACACTACTGCAATGAGGACCAGTGCTGTCCCATGTGGTAGCCACTAGCCGCTTGAGGTTGTTAAGCACTTGAAACATGGCTAGTCCAAATTGAGATGTGACATAAGTGTAAAATAATTTTTAAAAAACTCATTAGTAATGTTTTATATGCATTCAAAATAAATTTTTTATATACTGGGGTAAATCACCTCCAAAATTTTAAGGAAGGGAAAGGCATAAGCCTGAGACAGACCATAGGCTTTGAAAAACTAACGTTTCAAATTTAAAGAGAGGAAAAGGGAAATGAACAAAGGAAAATGCCATGAAGTAAGAAAAAACTTAAACACTAGACTGGGAAGCTTATGTTGAATTATTAGCAGGTGATAGGGAATTCTCAGATTAAAACTCTCCATCAAAATAAATAAAAATTCAACTCATCATATACCACCAATAGTGTTAAGTATGTACCAGCTTCTAACACACACTTAGGCTAACATTTCTTTAATTGGGATACATCTAATAAACATGTGCACCTTTTTTTTTTTCTTTTAAGTTACTGACGGACCTTTATTTTACTTATTTATATGTGGTACTGAGAATCGAACCCAGGGCCTCACACATGCTAGGCAAGCGCTCTACTACTGAGCCAAAATCGCAGCCCCAAGTGTATGCACCTTTAAGCTGTTTTGATTCATTCTTCAATTAACACCACCTTAGAATCTAGGAATTATGATATTCAATTAAAAGTAGAAACATAATCACATATAAATACGCATCTGTACGTATATATACACACATATACACATCTAATACACATATTATACATGTGGATTGACACAGGTAAAGAAACAGAAAATTTCTGGCATTCACAACTATTTCAATAAGTATTCTTGTCTCATATTATAGACTGGGTAACATTAGTAACTGGTACAAGATTAGCAGGTTAAGTATGACTCTGATTCCAAGGAAAAGTTCTGGCATGAAGGTACACCACTTCTATAGGTTTTACTACTCTGTTTCTTTCGGCATCCATTTGCTTGTCATCTGGGGATCTGTATACCCCCAGGGTTTGCCATGAATGCAAATTTAGGGGAAGTGTTTTTTCTGAGAAAATTCAGTTTCATTTGCTTCTCAAAAACCATGTGTGACCAGACAAATGGTCTTTGTGTTCTTCTATCTACTTTTTCCTGTCTTTTCATTGGTTCCTTCTGTCACTGATGAAAGCTGAAGCCAAAGCAGATCCTCTCCCTACTTCCAACCCATTTGGTTTTAGAAACCAGAAGGCAAGCAACAGGAAGAGGTAGAGTTCAGATCCTGACCCAACTCTGTCCCACAGAATGGGCACACCTTTCCAAGCCTCATAAACTACTGGAAGAACAGTGACCAGGCCCCATCAAAGCATTCTGGGACAAGGCAGGCCCAAGATCTCAAACAAGATCAACAAGATGATGCTATGAGTAGCAATTACTACTTTACTTTTTAAAAAAAAAAAAACATATATTTATTTTTTAGTTGTAGGTGGACACACAATATCTTTATTTTTTACATGGTGCTGAGGATCGAACCCAGTTCCTCACACATGCTGGGCGAGCACTCTACCACTAAACCACAACCCCAGCCCTACTACATTACTTTATCCATAGGAGTTTTCTTTTTTTTTTTTCTTCCCCTCCTTTTTTTGCAGTACTGGGTATTGAACCCAGGGCCTTTTGCATGCTAAGCAAGCACTCTACCCCTGAGCCACATCTCCAGCCCTATTTCATTTGGTTTTGACCACTGAGTGGCTTATTTTTCGATACTATTTTCAAGAGCTTCCTCAATGTACTCTCACTTCTTGACAAGTCAGTCAACATTAAATCCAACTCATTCATGTTGATATTCCTCCACAGCTAGAGGAGAGAAACTGTTTTCAAACTGAGCTTCTGGGAGTCCTGTAGGCCATGGGGGAGGGGATGAGGAGTACTTTTTTCCTCGCTCCCAACCAAAGCAACTCTGTCTCCCCTACCCACCCCAGCACTGGGGATTGAACCCAGGAGGGCTCTACCACTGAGCCAAATCCCCAGGCCTTTATATTTTTATTTTGAGACAGGGATTTGCTAGGCTGCTGAGGCTAACCTTGAACTTGTGATCCTCCACAGGAGTACAGCACCAGGCCCAGTGCAACCCTTTTATTTCCTTTATGTATTGTGGAATAAAGAAGTAACTCAAGCTCAAAACCAAGATGGTAAGACAGAATTTTCTAACAAAATAGTGAGCAAAAACAAATGAAATTAAATCTTATGTAAGAAAGATCAAGTCACCCTAACTACAGAATATCCACACCCCCAGAACACAATCCACTCACAGGGCAAAGTGGTAAGTCTTTCATCATGCACTTAATGAACCATACAAAAAACTCTAATGAACAATTTCCCAGAGCCTAAAATGTCTCTAGAACTCTGTGTTTGGGAAAAAGGAAACCATAAGCACCAGGAATTTAGAAAAGAAAAAACCACTGCCCTCAACTCCAGATGGCACCCTGAGGTCAAGTAGGATTTCATCCTGTCTTCTGAGTTTGGAGCAGTCCTTTGTGTCCTACTCTCAGCTTTTCAATCGTTGCCTACTGTATAGGATCCCAAGTTCCTCCCAGGCCCAGTCATTACTCTCAAAGTATTATACATTATGTTTACAGTATAACCTTCCCTAGGGCAGTCAAGAGGATGCATGAATTTCAGGAATCATTTTAAGAAAAAAGCATAAATGAATTTCTGCTTAATCCTCGGCTAACCAAAAAATTTAATTTAACATAAAAAATGCTTTTACTGTACTATAAGGAGGTGTCAATCGCATATTCCATAGTTTAATATCTGTTATAGATCTGTGTCTTGATGCTTTTCAAGTACTTCCTCTAAACTAGGGACAATAACACTGTCACCACTGGATTGCTCTTTGAATTCTACAGACATTTTTTTTTAAAAAAGGCAACATGGGAGGACAGAAGTTTGGTTTTGGACTCATTGACTGGACTGTAAAGTATGGAAGAACAATGGTTTACATACCAAGCCTTGGCATAACGGCTCCCAGAAACTGTTCATCTTCTTGGAAGTGGTTCTCTTGCAAAGACTCCAGTAACTTCTGCAGGACATCTTGGGGCACTTTGCAGCCTGTGCCCTTCAGTTCAGTAAACCTGGTTAACCGGAAGCTCTTATCCAATTCATAACTTTCCGGGTTAAAGGACTCCCGCGTAGACATGGTTCTGGGGCCCACACTCCTCACAGGTTAGCCCCTCCCCTCCCTCTCTCTTGTTTGGCTGGGTTTTTTACTTCTGATCCACCTAGGTATCACCAAAACACAAAAACCATCATTAAAAGAATTCAGACATGTACTTGCCAACCATCAAGTGAACACATTAGGGAAATTCAGTATATGTGACAGGGGCTGAAACCACTAAGACCATAAGGAAACAGCCACAATACCTTCTTTAAAATGGTAATGCATAAGCTGGAATACATCTTTTTAAAAAAGAGCCTGTATGTGGGTTAGGGATGTAGCTCACTGGTAGAGTCAATGCTTGGCAAGGGCAAGGCCCTGGGTTCAATTTCCAGAACAAACAAGAAAAGGACCCATGCCATCCCAGATATCTATGCAAGATCTGAAGTGTGGTTATAATGTTGGCTCTGAAAATAGTAAGGAAGATCTTCCCTGAAGAAGGCAGTCTGGCCAGCAAGCTCATATGGCACTGAGCCACCTTGAACAATAACCCCAAAAGTTTCTTCTAGGGTGCAATATTATGGGAACCAAACTGCCAGCCACTTCATTTGTAGATCTGAAAGCCGCTATGGTGACTTTTCTAGAAAACCTTTTGATCTTTTGGTATCTGATAGAAAAACAAAACACCTACTGGAAACTGGAAAAGGACATTTATACAAATGCATTTGATGAAATTCTTCAAGATACTAAATTCTAATTTTAGAAAACCATGTTTCCTTCCCAGCCATAAGAATACAACACAATACAAAACTAATGAGGAGGCCTCCCTAACAGGAGGCCTCCCTAATGGACTTTAACTTTAAAAACTTGAATGGCTGTTTAACACAGTAAAGTCGGGTGTTCTTCAAGAGCACTTGGAAAGTTCTCTGATGTTTTAATGCAGTGCTATTTCCTAGAAAGCAAACATCCCGCCCAACAAACTAGAACACACATCATTGACAAAATATGCTACTGCTCATTACCATTTCATTACAGAACTAAAACAATAAATTAAAACCTACCTAATCACTAGCATTTACAGTACCCAGTACCATCATAAGTTTCTGGAACAAGTCTTCTAAGTTAGAAGCCTTCTGTGCTCCCAAGGTTAAAAACCTCCAGATTGATACTTTATTGGGCATAGAATGAATTACAGACACCCCAAATTTTAGGGTCAGTTTCCCCTATAAAATCTATGATTAAGAACATAATTCCCATTTATAGAGTTTTGCATCCCCTGGGAAGCACATCGTTCATTTAAAATAAATTTACAAAGCCCGAGTTTGGGCAGTAATCCAAAGCATCCTTACAAAAACATGTTTGGGATGAGCAGTGACTTTAGTGGGAAAGCTACAACTGTACCGGGACAAACCTTCCAACACCATTCCAAGAAACCAACCTGCCCCCAAAGAGAAAGCGAGCCAAGCAAGTTACAGTGATGGGAATTTTGAAGCCATTTTAGAGTTTGGAAAGTCTTAATACCACTTCGACTAAGAAGGGTTTGAACAAAAACTGCAAAGTTCTAGCCCTCCGCAAAATGCCTTACATTTAACACCACCTGATCCCCACCAGGGGGTAAAAAAAAAGAAAATCCAACTCCCCGAAGCATCCAATTATTTTCCTACCTCCCATCCCTATATCCCGCCCCACCTCCGAAAGATGGGGAGGAGAATTTGGGGATTCCTTTTTAATTTCCATTTTCCCACACTTTTAGAAGGGGAAAAAAGTTAGAAACACCTTACACCAAGAAGGAGCTCAGTAGTTTTAAAATTCCAAGTGGAATGAGAAATACAAGCCACCACAATCACATTCCAACCTTAAAAAACAGCTAAACTTATATTTTTGCAGGGGAGGAGAAAAGAGGAGGGACGGCGGGGCGGCGAGTGAAGTAAAGATTAGAAAGGGGGGGTAAATTTGCCTAATAAGAGAGTCGACCGCGACCAGGGAGCCACGTGTTTACACCTTTAAAACAATGACATGAATATTTAAAGATAACGTTTAACCCTTTGCTTCCTGGGCACGTTTTCATTTTTGACCCGAGCGCGGGATGCAGGGCCGGGGAGCGCGGTCAGCGCGGTGGGCAGGGCGAGCGGCCCGGCGGGTACCTACCTACCCCCAGGCCCCGCACGTGCAGAGGGGTGGACACCGCGGCGTGCGCGCAGGGCCCGGGCGCTCTCCATGAGGCCCGTGGCGCAGGCGGCCCGGGCGCGAAGGACGGCACTCGGGAACACCTTAAGTCTCAGGCTGCCGCCTTTAAAGGCACAGCAGGCCCGGGCCCCGCTCTTTGTGCGGCGCCGCGCTGCGGGCTGGCGGCCGGGCGGGGACTGCGCGGAGCTGCCGACTGGGCCATGCTCACTCAGGCAGTCCCGCGGCGTCGAGGGCGGCGGGAAGCGCGCGCGGCCCACGGCGCTGAAAGGGCGCGAGGCGCGCGCGGCCCACAGGCCCGGCCCGGCGCCCAGGTCCGGCTGCGCCCGCGGGGCCTGCAGGCGCGGGCCGGGTGGGGGCGGGGAGGGCCGGAGGCGCGGCGCCCGGGACACCGAGCTGGCTCTCCCGCCGCGCGCGCGCGGGTCCCCACCGCCGCCGCACAAAAATGTCGGCGGGCGAAAAAATTAACCCCTGCGTGGCCGCCCTCCCCCTCCACTCCTCCCCGCCTCCTCCCTCCCTCCTTCCCCGGCCCCGCGCGGCGGCGGCGGCGGCGCGGGCGGTGCTTCTTTTTTAAAGCGGCCCCACCAAGCCCTGGCTCTGCCCCTCTCCAGGCAGGGCTGGAAGGGCCCGCCGTGCACGGCTCCCCGGCGGTCCCGGGCGGCCCGGAGGGGGATTTGCAACGGCCGCCGCGGGCCTGCGGACCGATATTCCCCTTTAAGCCTGGTGTCTCGCCCCCCCTCGCCAGGCCCGCCGCTTACCGGCTCGCTTTGCGCCCTCCGCCTCCTCCCGAAAACGGGCCGCGGCCGCTCCCACAATGCACCGGGCGCGCCGGGCTCCCTTAAGCGTCGCCTGAATAAAAATGCTGCTCCCGGCGGCGGAGGCCCGGCCCGCGCCTGGGCGCCGCGGGGGTCGGCCTGACTGCGCGCGGCCCTGCGGGAACCGGGCCGCCGCGCTCCCGCCGGCTGGGCCGCAAAGGTTCCTTGAGGCCGGCCACCTCTTTTTAAGAGGCGGCGGGCCGCGGCCGGAGCGGCTCGGTGGCTGCGTGCGGCCCTGGAAGGGGGCGGGGGCGCTGTGCAGGCCCGAGCGCGGCAATGATTGGTCTCGGGGGAGGGGTGGGGGGTTGCAAACCCGGGGAGCGGTGGCATCCGTTGCATGATGCAAAAAAGGATTGATTTCAAAAGTTGCGAGTTGCATTGGCAGCAGCCTGGGGCGTCGTGTCCACCTCCTTTTCCCGACCCGCTGGAAAAGCCAGGAGTGATTTCCTCAACCTGGCCGGGCTCGACCGCGCTGCACCAGCGGGACGCAGTACCTGCTCCTCAAACGCTGCGGTTGAAGTGTGCTGGAAGACAATGACCATGGAAACAATTTGCAGAGTGTAGGAGCCGAGGAAAAGCCGCCTCTGCTCCAGTGAAAGATTTGAAAACATAAACGGCGCGTTTGAGTCTCATTGACTCCCATCATCTCCTCCACCTATTGTTTACCCCGGAGTTCATTGGAGCCTCAGTGAAATATGCAAATTCCCTGCAAAGTTTCTTGAACATTTTAATATGCTTGGTAGGAAGTTTGGGGGGAAAGCTTAAGGTTCCCCAGGTACATCATTTTCTTATTCACATGTCCCTGGAAACATGGCAGCTTACTCCTGTATGTGCTTGAAGTGACATCAGTGAGGCAGCTTCACCTCATGAAATTGAAAAAAACTTTTCAGGTTTTCGACTTTCTAATGCATTGTGGATGTAAATAAAGTAAAATTTGTCGGTGCAATGTCTTTTAGGGCTTCCCTTAAAACTTTGCAGGGTAGAGCAATGCCATACCAAAGTTTTGGGAGTCTGTCAGCATTTTCCGAATTATTTTGGAGCAATGGAACAAGGCTTTATGGGTGCTTTCAGGTTTTCACATTACAGAGTTGTCCTTTTTCTTCTTGAAATGCTTGGGAGCTACCTAAGGTTTTAATCTAGGTGTGGATGCAGAAGTGATGCCACTTCCAAGACTGGGTGGATGCAAGCTCCTCCTGTTTTTGTCTTTTTCTCCTTGACCTGTAAGGTTTCAGAAGAGCATGGTAGAATTTTCGGTTCTTTAACGTGCAATTAGACTTTTGTAAGATCATAGGACTCCCGCGGTTGACAAACCCGGATTTGTCTGGGAACTTCCTGGAAAGATGACACCTGCACACAATCACCAGGTACCACTTTCCGGAGTCCAGAATCAGGGGAAAAGGATAAAAATAGTTTTATCCCTCCACATCTTTTTAAAATTGATTGTGTTTTTGGCAATGTGATTTTTTTTTTTTTTTGAAAGTGAAAATTTCATGATTAGAGAAAATTTGGTGGGGTAGGGGTTAGGTGAAAGTGACATAGGACCCTATGCGAAGATTTGTGTGTCATGCCAAGGAGTAGTTTTTAGCTCTGTAACAGTGTTGGAGGATGCCCTCTCCCAGAGGGGAAACCAGAGCAATGTTTCTGGTTGAGAGGTCTTTGTACTAGTTAAGCCTGCAGATGTACTTGAACTGAAAGTAGGGGGGATGCAGATAGGGAAAGGAGCTGATGTGACTTAATGTGTGCGAAGAAGAGGAAGAAGACCCCAAGTTTCTAGCTTGGGACAGAATGGGTAGCAATGTTTCTGATATTGAAACTCTTAGAGGGCAAGCAAGATTTGGGGTGAGTTCAGCTTTGGAAATGTTAGATTCCAAGCTCACAGGGTATTCAAAGTAATTGGAAAACAGACTCTCAGTTTGAGAAGCAAATTTGAGTTCCATGTAAATGGTGTCTGATGCCTCTGGGAGAGGTGGGATTAACCCAGAGGAAGGGTTCAGGAAAAAAAAGGAGGAAGACACTGGACTGAGCTCTGCAGAACTTGGAAACAATGGCTGGGCAAGCCAGAGTCTGAGTTTTGCCAAGACTGGAGAGAGCAAGTATCCCTAGAACCAGCCCTTATTGCAGCCACCAGGGTTGGAACTCATAAGCAGCTCTCAAATAGTTCTGGAGATGAAATCCAGAGCCCCACATATGCCAGACAAGCGCTGTATCCATGAGCTACACCTTGGTCCTGAAATGGTTCTCTTGAACCCAGGCTGCAGATTCTTGATTGAGTCATAGAAACCATGATTCATCTGGGGCCCAGATAATCTAGCAGACTTCTTGTCCCTTTTCCTTTCTAACTAGATGGAGCTCCTCCCACATGTATGGCTTTGCTTGAAGTCAGCCTTTCTCCTGCCAACCTGTCAAAGAGTTCTCTGTCCAGAGGGCTCACCAGAACTTTATTTCAGGGAGCCAACTCCTTTGGGTTCTCAGGTTCTGCTGGCTCTCTAGTTCCCATGGGTGGCATTATCCTACTGAGGCTTATTTGAAATACCAGTTTACCAGCTGCATTTGAAAAGTTACATCTAGCATCTGTAATGAGTTGAATTATGTCCCTCAAAAGATATGTTGAAGACCCACCAAGCCTATGAATGTGGCCTTATTTACAAATAGGAGTCTTTGTAGATGTAATCAAGTTAAAATGAAATGAAAGCTGAATTAGAGTGGATCCTAAATCTACTCTATCCTAATACAATCACACCTGTAATCCTTTGTACTTAAGAGGTTGAAGCAGGAGAATCAAATTCCAGGCTGGCACGCGCAACTTAGTGATACCCTATCTCAAAAAATAAAAAGAGTTGGGGATATAACTTAGTGGTAGAACACCTATAGAATCCTCAGTTTTTAAAAAAAGAGAGCATGGCAAGAAAAGGGAGAACTGAAGATGTTGACACAGGAAGGCATGTGAAGACACTGGCAGAGGATGAAGTGGTATAGCCAGGAGGCAAGGCACCTCAAGGATTGCCAGAAAATACCAGAAGCTGGAAGAGGCACAGAAGGATTCTTCCCTTGAGTCTGCAGAAGGAATGCAGCTCCACTGACACCTTGACTTCAGGTTTCCAGCCTCTAGAAGGATGAGAGAACAAATGTCTATTGCTCTAAGGTCCCCAGTTGTGGTACTTTGTTGTAGCAGCCCCAGGACCCAAATCCAGCAGCTCTGAGGAACACTCCCAGACTGGCTGTTTGTTTCTTTCTTTCGTTCTTTCTTTCTTAATTAATTAAATTTTTATATATGTATGACATCAGAATGTATTACTATTCATATTACACGATGGTTGTGCTTTTGAACCCTGTATTCTGGAGTCCTCAAAACAGCTCTGGTTATTTGACTTCTCTATTGGTCTGCCTTTTTCATTCATTCATGACTCTTGCTATGGGCTTTCCCACCACTTGCTGATCTTACATTGTTACACACCCAGTTCAGGGGTCTGATGCAATCCTACTGTCAAGTCACAAGTCAGGGGGTGGACCTGGTGATACTCTGGAAACTTCCCTGGGGTCCCCAATATAACTGGGGAACGAGGGGATAGGGACCTCTGAGAGGAGCCACTCCCTCCCTTTTTCCCTTTTTCTGGAGGGCTGATGATGTGGCTCAGTGGTAGAGTGCCTAGCATGTACTAGGCCCTAGATTCAACCCCCAGAACAGCAACAATAACAACAAAAAGTCCTCAAGACGGTCATTCCCAAAGTTCATTATTTTCCCTGAGGCCTGTTCCACATTCCAGTGCCTTCAAGAACAGGTGGATAGCTGTCTGTCTGTCCAAGGGCAGCGCCTGTCTGTACCCCAGCTTCTACCTCTCCATCAGTTGCTCACCTTTTTTGAGGACCTACTCAGTACTCCCTGTTCCAGAGGTTTTACAGGTGTCCTCAGAATTATCCTGGAAGAAGGTTCCATTATACATTTGTTTCCTGGGGGAAGAAACTAGTACTCAGTTGATTATATAACTTGCCCAAGTTCACTAACTTAGTTTGGGTTCCCCCAAGGCAGATCTTTGAATAAGAATTAGGAGGAAGGGAGTTAATTTGGGAAGTGATCCCAGGAAACCAGGAAGGAACAAAACCAAAAAGAATGTTAATGTGTCTCTTATCACCGGGAGCAACTGGGACTCAGCCCTGTTGTGCTCCTTGAAAAACTATAGGGAGCAACTCCCCATATCAGGGGGCAAGGAGGGGGAATAAAGACCCACTCAAGGATGTCTATGTCCTAGTCCCCTGAACTGCGGATATATTATGTCATTCCCAGATGGAATGAAACGTTTAAACGAGGGCAATTATCCTGAATTATCTTGGTGAACCCAAGCGTAATCCACACCTCCTTAAGAATGGAAGAGGGGATCGAAAGAGAGGACCTGAGAGATGGCAGCATGAGAAGGCTTGACCATCATTGCCAGCTGTGAAGATGGAAGAAGGGACTAAGCATCTAGGAAAGCAAGTAGCCTTTAGAAGCAGTGGAGGGCAAGGGAACCGATTCTCCTCCCCTGTCCCCAGGAGGGACTCTGACCTTAGCCCAGTGAAATCCATGTCAGATCTATGATTTACAGGACTGTCAGCTAACAATTCAAGCCAGGGACTTAGTGCTAATTTGTCACAGCAACAACAGAAAACTAACCCACTCCCTTAAATTTGTGCCGCTGGCAGGCAGAGAGGCTAAAGCATTTATGAGCTCACTTCCATCCTCCCTTGGTTAAGGTTGCCCTGGGACATTAGCTCCCATCCTGCCCCTTCACTGGACTGGAAAAGACTTGGAACTTTGGAGTCACAGAGCAGCCTGGAGAACCAGGCAGACAATCAAGATGGGTGTTGTCAGGGGGCTGCACACTGTCCCCTGCAGCTTCGGATAGGCAGAGATGAGCCAGGCATCTATGGTGTGGGCAGGTCTACCACAGTGCCTAGCTGTCAGCAGTGAGGCCAGGATTTGAACTTGAGCAGTTTTAAGTCTGGAGCCCTCAGCCTTGCCCTGAGAGCCTCCCTCCAGCATTTGAAGGCATTCAGTATTCACACTTTTCTTTTTAAAAACTGACCTGGGTTCCATGGTTAGCTATTCCTTGCTATTCCTTCACTCTCCCAGCTCTTTGACTGCGTCTGCCTCATGTTGCTGCCCCCTCCTTCACTAGCCATCATGCCCATTCATACACCTGGAGCAGTAATGTGTGTCAGGTTTGTCTTTGACTTTCTTCCAGAGCACTATTTA